ACCAGCTGTCTTTCCAGCAGGGGGCAAGCGCACAAATATATGAGGGGTAGTTCTTGCTTTCTTCTCCTCCCACACCTTTTTTGACACAAACTGGGCTGTTTTTTTTCGTATCTTATGTCCCGCTTATCTTTAGGTTCAGTTGTTTCTACTTCCAATAATCTCAGTCTTGTCATCACGCTGCTTTGCGGTATAATCTTGACATGTCTTATGAACCGAGCAGGTTTTAGGAGCAAATTGGGTGATGTCCTGCAGCCCCTCAATGAGGAAGCCATGCAACTTGCCTGCTGTGGTTGGAAACAGAGAAAAAGAATGTATTTGAGTCGTGTTTTTATATGCACTATGTCATTTCAAAAGATGTTCCTATTGAACAAAAGAAGACTAGATAGCCTGTGGTGTAATGGACAATACAGGTGCCAGATGTATAAAATGATGGCAGTCCATAGGTTATTTGTCTAAGGAATCATCTGGGAATTCACTGACCCATTGGAACAGGATTGTAGGCGATTGTTTATTTATGTTAACCCAGGTTGTTCTGTCCCGTTGCCAGAAGAATAGGACTGTGCTTTGGTATATGGCAGTGTTCAACTCTAGTAATGGAAGCTGCAAAGATGAAGCACATTGCTGCAGATACAGCTAATTTACCTGTCAACAGAGTAATCTCAAAGCAAGATAGCTGTAGAATTATTCTGCAATGAAGTATTTGTTTAGAGTCATAATTTTATTAAACAACCAGGTATTAATCTGACTTCCTGTGGATCTAAGTTGTGGGGTTTTTTTCCCCTGTATTAAGTCTACCTAAACTTTCAAAACAAACTTATGCATTCACAACTTTAAAAAAACAGTAAAAATAAAAAATACAGTGGTAGCAATAACTAACCCAAGTTAATTTAAGGTGATGAGTGGCTGCCATTTTTGGCACTTTATAAGCATTGTTATCCCCCAATAATGGAACTATACATCTTGTGACCTTGATCTTTATGACTTTACTGGTCCTGTAGAACTGATGAATATTAATTTAAAAAAAAAAATCTACTGTAGTTGACATCGTAACATTGCTCTTCTAGTGCTTTGGAAAGATTAATGACTGGAGTGTGCTTGTGTTTCTTGGCAGTTAATGAAGATGCTTTTTGAGTGTCCTGATGAGCGAGTGGACCTGGAACTTATTTCTTTCTGTATTAACCTTGCTGCTAACAAAACAAATGTACAACTTATCTGTGAAGGTAACCATATGGAGATTTTACTGTTTTCTTGGAGATGACAACACTTTATATACATTTTTAAATATATATTTATATATAGAAATTATGCATCTAAGGTATTTATCAATTCCTGTGTGTATATGTGTGTATTAAAAACGAAATGCACCTTTTTGGGTAATGTTTGCAAGTGAATAGCCATATCCTCCCCAAAATTGGCCTTGGTGGAGAGAGTGACACTGAGACATCTCTCATATCTGCATGTAGTTCTGTGAAACACACTGATGACAGTACCTTGGGAAAGTATGGTGGTATGGAGAGATGAAAATTTTGTTCTATGTGATGCCTAAAATCCGTCTTTAGCTGCCAGTACCAAATTAATAGCACAGTGATGTCATTTAGTTATAATTTTGTTATTTTTTTTAATTGATAATCTTTTGGGTTCTATTATTTTGTTACATGGTATAGATGGGTTTTGCATTTCATTCGGTAGCTCTCTAGATTGCTTTTCAGATTTCATTATTTTCATACTAGCAGTTTCAAGTGGAACATTATTATTCAGTAGCACTAATTTTTACTTGTGCTGAAAATTTTCACAATGAACTACTATAATAAATTACTAGACTTTAAAAGGGACAATTGCAATCAATGGATTCTATGACCAGCAATTCCACTTTAAAATTGTCTGTATAGCTTTGTAGAAGGGGGAGGAGCAGGGAGAGCTCATTTTATATTAAAGGTAGATATAAAATTCAAGCTAGTAGCACTTACTAGATAGGCAAGGTGATCTTTTGGAAACGTAATGGTAACAGTGGGGCTTGGCCTGTGCAATCAAGTACTGCAGATCTGTGTATGTCTGTTGTGTGTATTCCCACCTAGTGATCTACAGGACTGACAAATAATCTTTTAAAGCCATAATAATGTATTTATTCCATGGAGTGGGGAGAGAAGTCTCTGAGCTAGTGCCAACAGCTGTGCTGCATCTCCACTAACTGCAGTTGATGATAGGATAATTGTTTGCATGTAGAACCTTTCTTGGTCTGAATAAGACTGAGCCAGCAGTGTGCCCAGGTGGCCAAGAAGGCCAACGGCATCCTGGCTTGTATCAGGAATAGTGTGGCCAGCAGGAGTAGGGAGGGGATCATGCCCCTGTGCTCCGCACTGGTGAGGCACTG